CTCTCTCTCTCTCTCTCTCTCTCTCTCTCTCTCTCTCTCTCTCTCTCTCTCTCTCTCTCTCTCTCTTTCTCTCTCTCTCTCTTTCTCTCTCTCACTCTCTCTCGTCGTCACACTTTCTATTACGGTTTTCTTGAGTGTCATTGAAGTTATATGTGAGTGCGTTTGTTTGAAGTTCTTTTGTCCATGAGTTCATTTCTAATGTAGGGATTTTTCACTCCCAGCATCACTTGTTACAAGTATTATTTATGAAGCACTCAAAATGTACTAAGAGCCGGATAAGTGTGTTCAATCAGTTTCTGAGTTGGTTTGTGACCAGATGGGCAACCTCTAGTCTATAGCCAGGAAATTCCTGAAGTTTGAAGTAGTTTATATGTTTGTTTGTATGTCATAGTGTGCATCCGTCTAGGCATGAAACACTTGTAAGACCGGGATCCATGTCAGTACTATGGGCCCAACCACCTGGGGTACCTGAGCGTGTCATTTAGGTTTTATTTCTTTTTCTGACGGTGAGGTATGTCCTTGCGCAAAGGCATGCCCAAATCCGTTCTTGCCTCTCATTTTGGGCATTCTCACTTGAGGCGTCTGAAGGGTATAGATTGAGTTTGTGGCGTTTTTGAGTTTTTTTTTTTTAATTCAATAATAAAATTCAGTGCGAGTAGTATTGGCCAAAAGTTTTATGGGACCTTGCCCGGAGTTTAAGGGTTCAAAAGAGGTTGAGTTGTTGTTTCGTTTCTTTCTTTTTCTTTTTTTAAAGGGTGGTAATCTTGAGATATATAGGTTGAGTTGTTGTTATTGTTTTTTTTTTTTTTTTTTGCCATTTGGGCTGTTATAAACCTTGGGGGGTTCTTGCTCACAGTTTCCCTAGCCAGGCCATTCGGGCCAGGCACAGGCAGCCTGGATGGCCTGCCTGGTAATCTACACACCGGTTGATTTATGTGTGTCACAGCATTTGTGAAATTCATTGGTGGATTGTCTTAGTAACTCCGGTTGTTTGATGGGTGTTACTAGCAAACACAACTTTTTGTCATTGAAGGTGAGCACCCATTATAGTGCGAGTGCTGCCCTCTAGTAGCCTGCAATGAGGATGGCAGTGAGGAAAGGCAAAGCAAATGGATAACTCCATAGGTCTATAACCATTGTGAAACCTCAATACAAAATAGGGTAACCATAAGGAATGATAGAGAATTTAGAGCATAAGTTCCTTCAAACAAAAGAAATTCAATTCATTTTTCCTTCAAAGAAAATTTCGGTTCAATCTTCCTTCCAAAAATCATGTTTCAGTTTAATTTCAAGCATAGATAAACTTTCAGTTTAATTTTTCGTCCACAAATTGCATTTCAGTTCAATTTTCCATCCAAAAATCACAATTCAGTTTATTTTTCGGTCATAWATAACACTTAAGCTTAATTACCTGGCCAGAGACAACATTTTAGTTCTGTTGTCTTCAAACAAAGTTTAAAAAATAATATTTCGGTTATAATTTTAAATCATATTAAAATGAAAGATAAAATTTCAGTTTGATTTCAAGCAACACATAATATTTCAGTTTGTATTAAACTGAAAAATTATGTTGGAACTTTCAAGATTGTTCCTGAACTTTCGGGCTAAAAATACTTTTCAGTTTATGTTGAGGGGAAAATGGGCATCATAAACTGAAAACCTATTGATAAACCGAAATTCATCAAAGTAACCTGAAATTTTTTGAGTTAGTCTTTTCTTCAATTGAAGTTTTATATCCCGATTTTTTCTGTTGCTAAGCCATCGAATTTGATCCCACAATGCTAACAGAATTACCACTAACTGTAGCAAATCCTCCAATTTACTGCTCGTGTATCCTTGGGAACATCGAGTGTGCGTGATGTATCTACATACTTCCCACCAACGTGTTGGGGCAATGTCACATCACCCCTCAGTGTCCACAGACACCTCAGCTTCTGCCTCTCCCAAATCTGTCAGACGTAGGACTTCCAAATCTGCGTCACCCTCGCGTCTGAAATGCTGTTTTGCTCGGTGTTCGGCCAAGTCGAAAATCGCATCCAGCTTCCCCTCGTAGTGCAGACTCTCCTCCCGACACATACGCTGCAGCTCCTCCACATTGCAATCTTTGATCTCCTTGATGATGGCATCTCGGTACTTCAGCCGTGCCAATGCTTTGCTGGCCGGGGTCAAACGACCACTTTGTGGGGTCTTCTTAGACTTTCTCAACTTCGATAAAGGGGTCTTCACTGGTGTGCGTATCTTCGCTGGTATCTGCGTGCGTAAGCCCTTCGCCTTACTCTTTGATCTAGTCGACCTCGTGCTTGGGACAACTTGCTTCACTCCCTGTCGGTGAGGTGTTCGTTTCGCCGGTAGCCCCATCCGAGGACTATCCTCCATCTTCACGTCCTCCTGTCTTTTCCTCTTCTCCGACAGACATAGTCTTTCCGTCTTCTCACTCAATTCTTGCGTAACACTTGTCTCACTCCCCTCGGTATTGTAGTCTGATTCATCTTCATCATCGGAGACGAACACTACCTTCTTCTCCCCCTTCGCTTCCTTAGCTCCGCATGTAATCGCCGGTAATAGCGAAGTCTTCCACTGATGCAGCCAGTCGTCCTTGATTTCGCTCATCATCATAGCTGCGTGAAGTGTAACATCCTTCTTCATTTCAGCTCTAATCAAGGTATCCTGCTTAGCCTTCTCCTCCTTCTTTTGTTTCTTCGCTTCACGTCGAGCTGCTTCCTCTGCTTTCTGACGCTCTTCCTCTTCTTCCCTTCGCCTGGCTTCCTCCTTCAATAGTTCTTTCTCCCATTTTTTACGGGTCTTCTCTTCCTTCTTCACACGTTCTTCATCGACGTGCTCCTTGATGGAAGCCACACCTTTGGACAGCTCCGCCACTCTCGCCCGCAGCTCGTATTCCCCCTGTGGGGGGTAACGCCTTCTGGGTTCATACCCCCTTGGTGATCGTGATCGCCTCGAGTCAGTCGAGGTAGACGAACGGTTGGCACGACGATCTCGATGTGGACATGGGTTGGCATAATGTCCCTGTTCATCACAATTGAAGCATCACCGGTCGGTAAGTCCGACGCTCCCGGCCCCCTCGGTCTTCTTCACGCCTTCGGTCATAGTTGTCACGGCCTTCGTCACGTCGGTCGGTGCTGACATCTTGAAAACGTAGTATAGTAACGTACCGGTAATCCCAGTAACAACGCGCTCACTCGAACCCGGTAATCCTCCCCAGGCAAGTTCACACGTGCAGTAAAGAGTTGAGAAAATGGTTATGGTGACGACACAATGTTCAGAAAACACAAAGTAGTGCACTCATGGTCACGAGGTGACACGTAGACGCAAACACAAGTAACCAATGGTTCCACTCAATCTTCCTTCAAACCCAAGAACCGCCGCATACCACAGTCCAACCCACATTGATCGTCCGCCATCTTCACGGTCGGAGTCAACTACGGGACCAAGAGGTCTTACTTACTCTGCACCTACGTATATATAGTACGCATCAGGACAACGCATCAGGACAAACCACTACACGGTCCAGTCTCCTCAAAGAGGTAGGTGGATAGAGCTACATAGAACCTCAAGAGCTACATCGAACCTTAAGAGTTCCGACCAGGTTCCTTGATTTGGCCATTCTGCTACTAGAACACAGTGTCCCAAGGCCTGCACCTAAGCTGGGTAATGGTCCCAGTAATGATTTTGTACTTCTTTCCGGGTTGTTTGTTGAGGTATTCCTGGCCTCTCCCATTTTGTGTGGTAACAAGAAAAAAAAATAAAAATAAAAAATGGTTGGGCTTAAATAATTAGCCTTTTTTTTAATTTTTTTTCCTACAGCAGCAGTAGTACCTCGAGCTGATATGTTATCCCCCCCCCCAAAAAAAAAAAAAAAAAAAGCTGATATGTTGCTCACAGAAAAAAAAAGATAAAAAAAAGAAAAAAAAAGATATGTGACTCACATCGTGTTTCCACGTGCCCAGCGGCAGGCGTCGCCGGAGCAGGGGATTTGCAGCTGGCAGGTAACGAACACAGCTCACGGGATGTGAAAACAGCCCGCCTCTGACACCTGACAGATGTTCGTGCTAGTGTCAGTGTCAGGTTTGCGTAGCCACTGTGTGTGCGGCGCTCATCAACGACAGGACAGGAAAACGGCGGCGAGGCCCTTATTGACGTGTCATCCCGCTACCAGGTGTAGCAGAATTTTTGTCGTGCTGTCGGGTTATATATCACTTCGGCCGCTGTTGGTTAATTCCGTTCTACCATGTAGCCCGTGCGGTTCCCCGTTACATCTTCTTGCGTTCCGTTGCGTTCCGTTTCTCCCGATTTTTGTGTCTGGAGAGTGGGATTGTCTTTTTGCGACAGCCTTGAGATATCATTATCTCATGAGCTGACCGGCCCCAGCTAATTCGGAATTATGATTGTAAAAAAAAAAAAAAAAAAAAAAAAAGAATTATGATTGCACCCCCATGTGGATTCGAACATGCGTCGGCATTTCAGCAGTTAATGGGCCTCGCTGCACTACTCTTGAAATGCACAAAAGACAAAAATCATGGCCGTGTATCTTTCCATATTCTTGCGGAAGATTCACTCTTGTTTTGCACATTTTGAGAGTAGTCCAGCGAGGCCCAATTGGGTGTACCAACTAAGCCACCCGTGAGGCCGTTGGTACAAGAGAGTGGGATTATTATACAGTAGGGTGGGGCCGCCGGTGGGGGGGGGACCGGCGAACGCAAAGACCCTTTTAGCATTTTGCCAGCAGCCTTACGGGTGCGCCTCTCAGCTACTTCCCCCAACCCCCATCGAGCAACCGGTAGCGAGAGAACGAGCGCGACCGAACGAGCGAGGGAGCGAGGGAGCTAGGGAGCAACTCGTCCGCAGCTGGAGGTTGAATCTCGTTGGCGTCTCCAAAAAAAGTGAAAAAAATAAATAGAAAAAATCGCCATCGTATCTCTCAGCAGCAGGCGAGGCGTTCGAGCGGTGACTTCCGTTTCGGTTTCGATTTCGATTTCCCGCGAAGTTTTTTTTCGGCTCTGCCACCGCGCGCGTAGTTTTTCCCGCCGCAGCTGACGATTGCTCCCGCCCTCGAAATGCGAGTGGACTTTGAAAATTATATAGAGAGCAGCAAACTCATTTGCATCAATGACGTGGCGCGGTTCAGTGAGGGGGCTGGTGGGGGAAGAGGCGCATTGTCAGCCATGTGATGCTGTATATCGATCGACCAGTCTGCACGAGCAGTAAGTGCAGGCAGCAGCTGGACTTGCTTGTCGGAGGGGGAGGGGGAGGGGGAAGGGGGGAGGGGGAAGAAGAGGGTGAACCCGGGGGTGGAGAGCAGGCATACTCCAATTGTATGAGGACGAGAGAGAGAGAGAGAGAGAGAGAGAGAGAGAGAGAGAGAGAGAGAGAGAGAGAGAGAGAGAGAGAAGAGCAGGCATACCTCAATGATGTAATTTGGCGCTGTCGGACAGCGGCATCGAGATCGGCTGGCTGTGAAATTGGGATGGGTATGGGTAGAAGGGGGTTGCACGTGGTACAATGAGTGGATGACTGGAAAGAGAAGCATAGTCGAGGGGGTGAGGGGAGAGAGGTACAGCAGTAAGAAGGGCAATCATACTTCACTTCGACTCGGGGATTTCTTTCTGCCGGTGGAATCTGGCCGTCATTCTGGTCATATACATCCGGAAACCCCCTGTGCGAACATTTTGAGTATGATTTGAGGTGCCCAAGGGAGCCGCACCAAAGGGTGCTTTTTTTTTGTTTTTTGGAAAGGGTGGGGGTTCCGAACCGGCCGATATAGATCACGTGATTGCCAATCCTGCGGCTCGGAGTAATCGGCGAAAGCCGCAGCTGTGAATTAAGCGGTACGTCAACAAGAATCAAGGGCGAGAGAAGGTTGCAATGCTAGGTGCAGGGAAGGTAGGCCCCCGTCGTTTCTTTCTTTGCCTTCCCCCTATATAGAGTCGTCCCCACACGTGCCTCCTCAGCCTTTCCTTCCCCTCTTCTGTTTCTCCTTCTCCCCTCCACTCTCTCTCTCTCTCTCTCTCTCTCTCTCTCTCTCTCTCTCTCTCTCTCTCTCTCTCTCTCTTCTGCTTGTCTATAGGCCGCAGGTATCCCGCAGAGTTTATCTCAAAAAAGATAAAAAAGAAAAGAAAAGAAAAAAGAAGGTCGGTCTATCTTTCATCTGGACGCTTGCCGGCACAGAGCGCTTTCAAACTTTGGGACTCGCCGCACACCACTCATGTATAACTGAATTCGATCGCAGAGCTTGGACAAGTGTCATGGACACACTTTTTTTTTTTTTTTTTTTTTTTTGGTTGGGATCATGCACACTCGCGTCACACATGGACAGGTTCGAAATCGTGAAATACAGAAGTCAAAATGGAAACAAGAAAAAACGGAAAAAAAAAGTCAATTATACAAGCAAAAAAAACGAATAAAAAGAAAAGAAGTCATTTTTTTTAGGATCATGCAACTCTGTACTACTAATTTGGAATTACATCGGGAAACACAGGAGTCAAAATGGTACAGTAAAAAAAACGAATAAAAAAAGAGGAGCAGTCACACAGTCTCCCTCATCAGGGGGATTCCCATCGTCAACTCCGGTAGTGGCCCCTTTGCCACACATCATACCACCACTATGGGCCTCGCTGCACTACTCACCAAATGCGCGAAAGATTTTTTTTTTTTTTTTTCTTTTTTTCTTTTGGGGGGGGTGCGGGGGTGGAGTGTGTGGGGGGGGGGGGGGGGGGGGGGGGTCGGGGGGGAGGGATTGGGGGGGAGTTTCGGTGGGGACCATACTAATTATGCGGAATTACTGTTTCAGATGCGAGTGGGAATAAGCAGCATGGACGCTCTGCTAACCCCTTCGCTCTCGTTCCGCGCGTGTACCCCTTCGATCCCTTCTTTATCTTCTGCCGACTGCGCACGCCCCCTCTCAGGGCATACTCACACTATGACTATTTTGACTCAGCTTTGGACGTGAATGCAGCCAGATGCATCCACGTCCGGCCGTAATTGCGGCCAGATTCATCCTGAAAAGTCTGAGTACGCCGTCAATCCTCATGGGGTCTGACGAAATCACTGATATGGGGCGTTGCCACGTGTCGTCCAGCCTGTCAGTCGTTAAGCGTGTCAGCCAGTGTGTCAGAGGGTCTTTGCTGTACGGCTTGCATAGCGCCATACAACCTCCGCTGTTTTTTTTTTATTTTTTTTTTTATTTTTTATTATCTCAATAGGAAAAAAGAGAACTCCGATTTCCTTTACTTCCATACCGTGTTGTTGCACCCTTCTTCCCTCCTCCCCTCCTCCCCTCCCCCTCTCCTCCTTTCCCTCTTTGCCCCCAATCGTTTCATACTGTGCTTCCAGGATTACTTGGTGAGCAATGGCTAGACCGTGAAGAAGTGCTCTTCGCCTTCGACACGATCTACCTCCCAAATTACCTCTCTTCTTATAGTCTATGTCACTATGAGTCTATATATATCGTCACAAAATTATCAGACCGCAAAAGCGAAAAAAAGAAGAAAGTCCTTCGGGACATCCGTTAAAATTGGAACGATACAGAGAAGATTAGCATGGCCCCTGCGCAAGGATGACACGCATAAATCGAGAAATGGTCCAAATTAAAAAAATAAAAAATAAAAAAATAAAATAAAAAAATTCCTTGTTTTATCTTCTTCCTTACAACTCCCCCCTGTTCAGAACCTCTTGCGTCCCAAATTATTACACCTTTTGTAGTTTATGTCATTACGAGTCTATATATTGTCACAAAAATATCAGAGCGCAAATCTATATATCATACTATTTGTATGAGGGTTCAGCCTCCCGATGAGTAGGTAGGTGAAACTCCGACGAACCGGTATCACAGCCCCTCCTCGTTTCTTGTCCTTTTCTCCTTTCCGGCCTACTGAACAGGTGGGGCTTTCCTTCCTTACTTCTTTTTCTTTTTCTTGTTTTGTCTTTTTCCGCCTTTGCGCTCCGATTTCCAGTGTGACAATATATGATACTCTTGTGACAATATATATATAAAAATTGAATTCAATTTTCCCTGGTTTTCCTTTTTTTCCTTTTTTTCCGCATTTGCGCTCTGATATTTTTGTGACAATATATATACCGGGCAGCTCTGTTTGACTATATACATCGTCAAACAGAGGTGGCCGGTAAACCGTATTGGAATTGGAATTGGAAAGAGCGAAGGCTAATCACAGCGTCGACTGAGATCAGCGGCACGCGACACATAAGCAAGTTGCTGAAAAATACAACCCGCCAGAATATGTGAAAACTCGGAAATTACTCAGAAGTTACTCTTCTGCAACACCAAGAGTATCTCTTCGAAAGATCTGCAACAAAGCTCAAGAGGAAGCCATAGCCAGGCTAACCCTGGTGATGGCTGTCTGGCTTCCCTCAACCGGTTTCGGCTAGAGCCAGTTCTAGCCTCATCAGGAGGGGCGGGAAAGTCTCCTCTTTGAGTCGAGTAGATCCAAAAGCAATCGTGGCTGGAAATCTGGTTGGGGCTCAGCAGATCAGAACAGCCCGCAGATGAG